ACATCCCCATGTGTCCTACAGTGACAGGGGACAGCTCCCAACAGCCCCAAAATTCAATGGGGTCGGGCTCTGCTCCCTGAAATGAGAGGGAATGGCCCCAATATAAAGCAAATGCATTCAAGCTGCAGGAAGAAGAGCAGGATCGGCCTGTGCCCTGACATGGGGGCACAAAGTGCTGGCACTGCCCAGTTCTGAACCCTCTCTGTCCTCCCTGTCCCAATCCTGCCCCTCTGCCACACTCTGAGTGTCACAGGGGCTGCAGGGGCACCCCCTCAGCTCAGCCCAAGGGCTCCAATTCCTTACATCCTAACTTCTTAAACCTTAAAGAGAAGAAATCCTAATTTCTTAAACCTTAAAGAGAAGAAATCCTAATTTCTTGAACCTTAAAAAGAAGAAATCCTAATTTCTTAAACCTTAAATCCTTGGGAATCCTGATTTCCAAGATCTCTTAGAAAAGATGGCTTTACTTGGCCATCCCAACTGAGTGAACTGAGCTGTGCCAGGGGATCTCAGGAGGAATTTCCACATGGAGAGGGTGGCCTGGCATTGGCAGGGGCTGCCCAGGCGGGTTTGGAGTGCCCAGGGAAGGGCTGGAGGTGGCACTCAGAGCTCTGGGCTGGGGACAAGGTGGGGAATGGGGCACAGTGTGGACTCGGTGATCTCAGAGGTCTTTCCCAGCCTGAATAATTCTGTGATTTCCAGCGCTTTCCTGGTGCTTTCCCAGTGCTCTTTAGGGAATGCTGGCCAGCACATCCCGAAAGTATTCACATCCCGAAAGCATTTAAAGGCTGGGACGGCTGCAGCATCGAGCACATCCCCAAAGCATTTGCATCCCGAAAGGATTTAAAGGCTGGGACTGCTGCAGCATCGCTGGGGGGTTTCTGCCTCTTGCGAAAACAAAACAAAACCTCACACAAAAGGTTCCTGAGCGCTGCCGAGGCCGCGCTGCCCCCGGGGCTGGCGGGGACGCTGTTTTTGGCCTCTGCCGGTAATTGGATTCAGCTTCTCCGGCGGCGCACAAAGAGCCCATTGAGGGCGGTGGGAACTGCCCCGCGCCAGCGCCAGCTCCCGCAGCTCTTCACAGCTCCTCAANCCAGGGCAGAGCAGGTACCCAGAGGGCCCTGGCAGGATGCTCTGCCCCTCCCTGCTGGCACCTGGGCCAGGTGGGCACCGTGGGCAGCAGGTCCTCGGTGCAGCCTCTCCCCGGTCCCAGCTGGAGCCCTCTCCTGGCTGGCAGTGCCAGGGAATGAGGATGGGTTTCTTGCCCAGGAATCCATCCCCTGGCTGGGTGCAGCTGCTTTTCCAGCCTGGAACTCGATGGAATTTCCAGCCCCTTCCAACCCAAACCTTTCCACCATGGTCCCACCTGGAGTGTGGCTCCTGCAGCGCCCATGGAAAGCCCTGCCCTGGCACAGGGACCCCTCCAGGGGGGTGCCCCGGGCACAGGACAGGGCAGGGGGCACAGACCTGGCTCCGTGTCTGCTCTGCTGCCAGGGCAGGGGGCACAGACCTGGCTCCGTGTCTGCTCTCCTCTGCTGCCAGCCTGGCACGGAGCAGTGCCCAGGGCACCAGTGTGGCAGGAGGGGCTGTCCCTGTCCCCAAGGCAAGGGAAAGGTGGGGACGTGACACACTTGGCTCTGTCCCAGGAGCCGGCAGGGAACCGGAGATATCAGGGAGCACAGGGAGAGCCCGGGCTGCAGGGCTGCTTTTAAAATAAATAAATTAATACAAATCTCAGATTTCAGCCCGGCTTTATCGCTCATAACCTTGATTTTGGGAATATCAGCCTGGAGAAGGGAACAGCTCCTGCTCCAGCGCTGCCCCGTCCATCTGGGGCACCCGGGGCTGCCTGGTGTCCCCTGTGCCCCCTTGGCCCTGCCCTGCTCTGCCCTCGGGAGAGCCACAAGGCAGGAGCGGCGCTCAGGGAGAAACGTCAGGGATGGTTTGGTCTGTGAGGAGGGATTGGAGCTGACAGATCAGCTCAGGGAACGGGAACACAGGGAATGGGAATGGGGATGGGAGTGGGAACAGGAACAGGAGTGGGAAAGGGAATGGGAATGGGAATAGTAACAGGAGTGGGAATGGCAACACTGGGAATGGGAATGGGAACTGCTCCACTCCCCCAGCCTGTCCCTGTGGGAGGAAGGTCCCTCTTGCACAAGCTGAGGTGCCTGGGGCTGGACTGCACACGAGGAGCAGGCACAGAACCCCCTCTGTGCCACATCACTGTGCCCACAAGGGGGGTGCCAGGGCTCC